CAAAGACATCAATTCTTTTTTCTGGCATCCTTAGTCATTGCCCAGCTCTCTGGTATATAGCATATTTTATTAAGTATTACAAAAGAATACAAATTTTATACAGCATGGTTGCATATGGGGAAACTACATATTTATATGTATGTGAATGTGCATATATGTATAGATACATATAGGTGATTTCATTTCTACATATATATCTAAGTATAGATAAAATATATAGATATATATAGACATATACCAAGTATTCTAAGATATATACTTAGTATATATCTATATATCTTAGTATACATAAGTATAGATATTTACTGTCTTGACCTCATGCTCTATGAAGAGAAAAGTGGCATAAGGATTGGAGGAAGACTCATCAACAAACTACGTTATGCAGATGACACAACCCTGCTTGCTGAAACTGAGGAGGACCTGAAGTGCTTGCTGCAGAAGGTCAAGGACTGCAGTCTTCAATATGGATTGAAGCTCAACATCAAGAAAACAAAGATTCTCATCACTGGGCCAATTGGCAGCATCATAATAGATGGAGAAGAGAGTAAGATTATTAACAGCTTCAGTTTTCTTAGCTGCACAATCAACATTCTTGGTTCCAACAGCCAGGAAATTAAAAGACAAACCACATTGGGAAAGTCTGCTGTCAGAGACCTCTCCAAAGTACTGAAAAGCAATAATGTCAGTCTAGAGACTAAGGTGCACCTGATATAGGCCATGGTCTTTGCAATTACTTGCTATACATCAAAAGCTGGACAATGACAAGGGATGATGGAGAATTAATGCCTTTGAATTATGGTGCAGGAGAAGAGTATTGAATATTCCATGGACTTCTAGGGGAACAAACAGGTTCGTCCTGGAGAGGGTGAAGCCAGGCTGCTTCTTGGAGTCAAGGATTCTGAAGCTTCGTCTGACATACTTTGGACATGTTGCAAGGAGGGACCAGTCCTTGGAGAGGGGCATCATGCTTGGGAAGGGGGAGGGATGGCACAAGAGAGGAAGACCCTGAGTGAGATGTAATGACTGACTGACTGAGGTAATGGGGGTAGGTGTGTCAGAGACAATAAGGTTGGCACAGGTTAGAGCAGGGTTTAGGGCTATTGTACATCTTAGAAACAGTTATTCAGATTCTTGTACACCAATGTCCATGGCAATATTATTCATGATAGCTGGAAGGCATAAACAGGTCATGTCTACCAATAGATTAATCGGTAATCAAAATATAGTACACACATAATGGGATATTATTCAGGCATGAAAGAAAAATGAAGTTCTGATACATCCAGTATGGATAAAAATTGGAAAAATTATACTGAATGAGATTTTTGTTGTTAGGGACCACCAAGTCAGCTAGTCACAGTAACCCTATGAAAAACAGTTCTGAATATTTTCCTCCTATTCGGCACCATCCTCCCATCTCTGTCCTGCTTAAGCCCACTGTTGTAGTCAGAGTGTCAATCCATTTGGTCTTCCTTTCTTTCACTGACCTTCTAACTTTTTAGCATAATGTCCCTCTCCAAGGATTGGTTCCTTTAGAGAATATACCCAAAGTAAGTGAGACCAAGTTTCACTCTCCTTGCCCCTAAGGAGCACTGTGGTTCCACCTCCTTTGTGGACAGGTTTGTTTGTTCTTTTGGCAGTCCATGAGACATGCAGTTGTCTCTGCCAACACCACAATTCAAAGGCCTTGATTCCTTTTTTGGTTATCCTTATTCACTTTCCAATCCACAGGAAGCAATCATGAACATCATGGTTTGAATCAGGCACGCCTTAAGTCTTTAACCTGGTATCCTTGCTTTTTAGCCCTTGGGCGAGGTCCCTGAGAGCAGGTTTTCCCAATGCAATACGGCCTTTGACTTTATGACCGCTGCTACCATGGTGTGCATCCAAGTAAAAGGAAATTATTGGAAATTTTAAACTTTTCTCCATCTATCATCATGCTGAGTATTGGTCCAGTGTTGAGGATTTTTGTTTTCTTGATGTTGATAATAACTGGTATTGAAGTCTTTGATCTTCTGCAGTAAGTGCTTCATATCTTCTTCACTTTCTGCAAGCAAGTTGTGCCATTTGAATAAAACAGGTGGATGCAAAGAGTCTTCCTCCAATCCTGATGCCACATTCTTGTTTATACAGTGCAGCTTCACAAATCATTTGCTCAGCACACAGATTAAATGAATGAGATAACATAGATATAACAGGACAAATATGGTAGAATTCTACTTAGAGATTAAATACTCAGAATAGGAAAATACATACAGAAACAGTTTATCACTGGTTCCTTGAGCAATGGGAAGGGGAAATGAGGTGTTATGGCCTGAGGAGGACTAAGTTTCTGTTCGGAGTGCCAAAAAACTTTTGGAATTGTAGTGGTACATGTTATATATAGGTAATTGCATGAATGTCACTGAACTGCACATTTAAAAACTGTTACAATGGCAATAGCCTGATACATTTGTCAATTTTGCCTAAGTACATGGGTCAAATTGTCATGGTCCACCTATTCAGGAACTATGATATGATTCTCATTTTGTGAAACAACAAATGCAAAAGGTTACTGGCTGCAATACAGTTTGAGAGAGAGAAAGACACAGAGAGAGAGAGACAGAGAGAGAGACTGTGTATCGGAGAGGAACAAAATGAAATACAGCAAAATGTCACAGTGGTTATTTTAGGACCGTTTTAATTTTCCTCTCAACTTTTTTGTTTTCTCTTAATGCCAATGTAGGCAAAAAAATCAAATAATAGCAAAACATTTTTAAGCAAGAATCAAACAAAAGAGGTAGCACAGGACTTGTAACGCAGCATTTCTGAATTTAAGGCAATTTGGGCAGGGACCATGGTTGGAAATGTAGGGAAGGAGGGGAGGGCATTCATGGAGAGGGACGGCAGCACCGTGGACACTGTGAAGACGGTGCAGAACTGGGCACAGCTTCAATACGTTTTGCATAGGTTTGCTGAGTCAGAGTCGACAGCAGAACAGTAACATCATTTTTGTAACTTCATTTCTAAAAAATTGTGTAATAATGAAGTATTTAATAAAATATATAGTCATGCTTAGGAGGGTGGAGGGACAGTGCAGGCGAGGAAGACCCTTGATGAGATAAATTGATTAAGTGACTGAGGTTATGGAGGGATAGGTGTGTCAGAGACAATGAGATTGGTACAGGTTACAGCAAGGTTTAGGGCTGTTGTATATAGGGTCACTATGAGTCACAGGCAACTCGATGGCATATAACAAAAATATAGAGCTCATATTCATTAACTGGCAATTGGTAGTCCAATCATAACTCTTCATTCTACCTCACTCTAATCTTCTTTCAAATGAAAATTAATGTGAAAGCTTACTTTAAAATATTTAGTGTACCAGAACATAATCATCACATCCAATTTCGCTCCCCTACTTTCTTGGTGACAGATAAGACTATGAGATGGGAGATTCTAATTGTTTATGTCACTCCCCACCATTCAGCCCGGGTTCTCTCCTATGATGCTGCCATATGGCTATACAACAAACATACAATGGAGCTAGTTGTCACAATGTCGGTGAAGGACAAACAGGGCAGAAGCTGGGTGTGGAGGGAGGTATCAGCCTTTTCTCTCCATTTCCGAATTTTCACTTCTGGAAATCCAGGCCAGTGTAGAACTGATTCAACCTTTGGCAAGTTTCTCCCCTGGCTATAACTTAATGGTTTGTCCTGGGACAAGAAAATGGATGCATGTGTTCTACTTGACCAAACCCATACCCACACTGTATCATGTGCTTCACTTCTTATCCAGTCTGATGTTAATCAAGGGCCTGGTGTGATAAATCCACAGAATGAATTATCAGGAAAACAGTCACAGCCCCTGGAGCCAAGGAGCTCAAATGAAAGCTATTTGTTGTTGTGTGCCCTTGAGTCAGAACTGACTCACAGCTTGCTTACCTACCGTTTGGTTTTTTCCCCCTTAAGCTATAAATTGCATGGGAGGAGATGGCCCATTTTCCCCCCAAGGAGCAGCTGATAGATTTGAACTGTGTTCAGTCAGAAAAGTGCAGTGCAAAAGGCAATAGGAAAGACAGTTTGGGCAAAAGAAAGGGGAGGAAAAAGGAACAGATAAAACAGGCCTACAAGGGTGACAGAATGTAATCCAAGGTGTTACTAAACTAATGGAAGGGCACTGTCCTCCTTTCCTCTTGCTTAGTTTAAATCAGATATATGTACCAATGAAAAGCAAGAATACAACGCCGAACTGAAATAATAATACACTGCTGGAGTACATTTTAGGGGCAAGCCAAATCTCCGTTCTCCGTTCTGTGATCCCCAGCTTTGCAAGTCTATGAAATGCCTTGGATGCCAGGATTTAGCAATTTTGATTAGATTCATTGTGTGGCTTGTTCAGTCTAAGTGGGATTTTGTGTTATTAAAGAAAAGGATTTTGAAATGTGGGGGTTTGTAATTTAGAGGCAGGACCTAGGGGTTATCTGATCCAAGTCATAAGGTCACTCAAGTCTGCTTAACCCCAGGATATGCATATCTGTATATAGAGCCCTAGGGATAAAGTAAAGATCTAAATGCTGCGAGAATCGTAAATCAGGGCATCTGGCTCCTGGATAGTCATACTGTAACAACCAAAAAGGGACGGGAGAATCCACTCACTCTGCCCAGTTGCCCACACTCCTGTTCTCCTCTCCAGCCTCCTTCCAGAGAGCCCCTAACGATCGCCCCAACCCAGAGTTGTGGGTGGATCACGTGGCAACAGAGGACGCCAGGTTCTAGGAGGAGAAACAAAGAAACAGCAGGTGTAGGTCCTTTAAGGCTAACACGCCGTCCCCTGCTGTTCACTATTTTACTTCCGTGCTGTTCACTTTTCCAGGGCATCAAAGAGCCGGGCTTTTCAAAATGCTTCCTCTGCCTCAGAGAAGCCTGGTTATGAGGTAAAGAGAAGTGCCGTCGTGTTGGGCAGACAGTGGAATGCCTGGACTCTTCTTAAAAAGTATTTTTTTTTTCTATGACTTTCAGGTGAACATCCGTATAACCATCCGATTTTAAGCAGTGCTACCCAGACCCCTACACATGGTGAGAGATGATTTAGAGCATTCTGTATTCCATCTTCATTCCAAGTGGGTCCATTCTAACCACTGATGACTATCAGAGCTTCAAACACATGGTCATTGGCTCACAGAAGCTAAAGGGATATGTAGGAGTCACATGTCGCCTTCCCTGGGCCATAATGCTCCACTCTTACTTTGTGACCATTGTTCCCTTGGCATCTCAGTCTCTGATATTATCAAAGTGATCTTCTCACTGGAAAGGGATGTGGATGAACCCTTTCTCAATTGATTTCTCTGTTTTATCCAGATCATTCGTTGTATAAGTTCCATATGTCCATGGCCACGTGGTGTAACCCTCTCCTTTGCCCAAATGTAATCATTTACTAGTGACATGATAATTGATAAGCTGTATTTAGTCTCCCCAAACAAGCGAAGAGCTGATACAATTTAAAACCTAACTTTGTGAAATTCAGATTTTAGTCTCATAGCACAAAAAGCCCACTGAAAGTAGCAGAGTCTTTGAGTGGTAACGCAACGTCAAAAGGTTACAAAAGGACATTTGCTTTGTAGGTAATGACATGCCTCTGTGAGATCACAACATAACATTTGGAACCACAGAGAAAAACTAGTTTTGATACCTGTTCATGACTGGATAGAACATGAGACAGTCATATAAATTGTGAAATATCAGTCACACTTCTCTTTTTATTGTGAAAGAGTGAAAACTTCATTAAATTGTAGAGAGAAGGAAACTGAAAACAAAAAGTAAATTCCCCATCCCACCTGGTCGGGAGACCTACCACATTCATGGCAGTTTATGCTCTGTCAATGCCTCAACACTGAGATCAAGAAGCACTGTAATTAAGATGATGGGAAGGTTGTGTTTTTATAAGCCTGTCCAGTGCTATGCTGCTGGTTATGTGCTGAAAACATGAGATTAATAAGATTTTCCCATCGTGAGGTCTAGGAAAAGTTGGAAGTAGGAGAAAATAGATTATAGAAAAGGTATGATGTTAGCAGTGCTGTTGGCAGTGGCAATATAAAGGAAGGTTCTGGAGAGAAACAAACTGAATCAAGGTTGGGAATTTAAGTTACTAACTTAACGTGGCTGATGAGAGTCAACTCTAAGTTGAATGGCTTGAGCCAAGTTTGATTATATAATAGAGGATTTCATTATTGGAGTCCACGGGTGATGCAAATAGTTAACATGTTAGAGGCTGGAGGTTCAAGGCTGTGCAGAGGCACCTCAGGAAAAAAGGCATGGAGACCTCCTCCTGAAGGTTGGTCACTGAGAAGCCGATGGAGCACAGTCCCATTCTGACATACACGTTGGAATCAAGCCAGCGACAACTGTTTGTTATTATTTGCACAACATAAGCAGGAAAATAGCCAATGTTTCTAGAGGAATGAGTTGCTTATGGTGAGATATGCAGATCTAGGGTGTGATATACCATTGGATAGGCAAGAAAAATCCATCAACGGGCATTTAGAAATGCAGAAGGAAGACTGGAGGGAGGTGAGAGCTGAAGATGGAAGGTACACTTGAGAGGCATTAAAAGAAGCAATGGATGTGTTAGCAACAGGTGAGAATGCTGAAGAAAAAAAAAAGCAGAAAGCAGAGGCAGGGAGCTGGGCGACTGGAGGACGTCCATGGTGCTGGATCAGCAGTAAGAGGGGGACCAGAAAAGGCAATCCAGGAAAGCCCCTATTGGCTTGGGAATACTCCAAAAGAGGAATCACTGAGCTCATGTTCCCCAGAAGGAGCCAACACAAGTACAGCTTCCTGAATACAGGAAGGAGGAGCCAGTCTTCCTCCTCTCTCCTCCAACATGTCTGTCCAGTTACGCAGTCGTGAAATGAAACAGGGATGGATGAGATGCACTCCCTGCCCTTGGGCAGCACACAGCAGTACACGAGTCCACAAGAGTAAGAGCAGAGTGGTTGCATACATTCCTCCCCTGGATGGTACCCATTCCCCAGAAGCTGGCACAGCATGTATTAGAAGAGATGTCCTGTGTCTAGTTAATGAATCAAGGGGAACTCACTGGCTCCTCTTCTTGACCATCAGAAAAATTTGAAAGGAAAACTTGTCAAGGAAAGGGACACACTAAGGAGGTCAATAAACCCAACTGAAGTCAGATTACTAGGGATCCCTTAGACTCTAAATTGGATGATATGGACTCAAAGAGCGGCAGAGCTCAGTGAGCAGATACCACTGTGGGCTTGGAAAACCCTAACACTTATAGTGGAAAGCATTGAGTCAAAGGAAAATAAGAATAGAGACAGAAGATGGGAAGGTATTACAGTACGGCATAAAACATGAACAACGGACAGAGAGGCAGAAGGCAAAGAAGAGTTCTCTTTAACTTGATAACATGTTACAGAGAACAGTGAGAGGTAAGAGGTGTATGTGGAAGTGGATGAGCTATTTAGTGATGGGTTTGGCAGCTCTCCAATGCCAGCAGAGAAAGGGAAGTTCTTACTACCTGAGTATGGCACGGACTGAAGAAACAGCAGACTAGTGGAGATGACCTAGCTTTAGTGAGCAACACTCCCAGCTTCCTGGCATCTGTCTGATCCATGCCCAGAAAGTCCTTTCTGTACAACATGTTCTGAACCCTCAGAAATGTAGAGCATCCCTGCACCTCCTCACATAAGTGAACCAGCTCTTTGGCTGGACTCCCCTGGCTCCAGCCCCAGTGTTGGGGGGATGACAGTGCAGGCAGGAAGGGATAGAGAAGCTGGGAGTTCCCTCTGCTTGGGGCAGCCATTGGAGCAGGTGTAAGAGGACTTCTTTCTGCCCCACGGTTCAGAGCACCCACATCTGCCACCGTTCAGTATTCTGCCAGGTACATGGGAACCACAATCCTTGGCCATATCTGTCCAAAGTTAGAGCCTACTTACTCCTTCTTGGTACTTCTTTGGCCTTAAAGTGTCCTGAACTAAATATGATGACTGAAGGATGAGACCAGACTATATATAACCTCCCAGTTACGCTCCCTCATTTCTAGGAATGGTACCACCATCTCCCCAGGCAACCACCTGTCATCTCCCATGACTTCCTGTTATGTCTCTTGCAGTCATTTATGCATCAAGGCATGCTCGTCTTCTTTTCCTGGACCCCCGTTCTTACCTATCCCCTCATCATCACTGTCACCCAGGCTCGCATCAGTTCTTCCCTGTACTGTGCTATTTGCAGTTTGACCCCCACTGTACACCACTGTTCTTCACTTCACTTTCCTTCTGTGCTCCATTCCTCCCCCTCCCCGATTCTTTTTCCCAGGTGTGGTTTTAAACAACATACCTTTCTCTTCAGACTTTGTAAACTCGAGGCTTTCTGACTGAGAGAAGAAGAAAAAGAGTTTGCTGTGCTGAGCATTTGCCTGCATTCTTTCCTCCAGCCACTCAGAGATGGCTTTGGATAAAGGAACTGAAATGGCTTTGGGCTGGGAGAAGGTCAAGGTGGGACTATCGGAGAGCTGGAGTGGCATTATAGATGGGACAGTGGTCGGAATCCCAATGAATATGTAGACCAAACAATTCACTACATCTCTTTCAAACTCGAATTTTTTTCCCCCCTGAGCCCAAGCATGAGGCCTGCCTAAAGCTATTAGGTAAGAAACAGAGATTTTACACAGAAATAGATCTTAGGAGCCCCCTTGGCTTTACTGGGCTTAACTTTTAATTGAACAACTTAGTGATGCTCCGGGAGAAAGCGTTTACTGCTTTGTCTCAGAGTCATGTTGCCATTCAGGGGACAGTAAATGGTCACTATGGCCAGCAGCAGTTACACCCACACTCATCCCCAGGTTCCTTGACAGCTGGAAAGGAATACAAGGGAAGCTGAGGTGCTCACATCACCGCTGTCCTCACACGGTGGGGTGGGAGAGCAGGATGGAGTTCTAAGTCAGCGTTAAGCAAAAAGGTGAAGAGACAGAATCTGGAACCTTCTCTCCTGCCTGCCCAGCATTCAGCCTTGCTGACACCAGGCACCTCCCTTCTCTTGCAGAGAAGCCCCGGATGAACAACATCCTGACGTCAGCCACGGAGCCCTATGACCTCTCCTTCTCCCGGTCCTTCCAGAACCTGGCTCACCTGCCTCCCTCCTATGAGTCTGCAGTGAAGACCAATCCCAGCAAGTACTCCTCTCTGAAGAGGCTAAGTAAGTTGTTTGTTTCCCTAGGGACTGGGCGGCCTCTGGGGCCTCTGTGACATCCTCTGGGGTCTAACTCTCTTGTCCTACATCTGAGTAGTCTGATGTGAAGGTGGAAGGTGGGAAGATAACTAAGCCTGTTGTTTTTGTTAACGCCTGGTCCATTCTTCCCAGGCATAGAATAGAGATCATGGAATCTGAATCAGCTTTTCAACTCAGCAGGCCAACTGGTTAGAGAGGAATCTAACTATTAAGAGAAAGCTTTCTCCCATCCCTGCATCCACCTGCTTTCTTCAAATTGTGGGCTTTCCTCACTCCTGATAGTATTTAGGAATAGAGGCTAACAATGATCAGAACTCTCTCATAGACTTTCCCGGGGCTGTACGGTTATCAAACAAAAAAGAGTCCATAAACCAGCTTCCTCTGTAACCCACCCACCACCATCCTGAAGACTTGAGATTCCTCTGTTCCCCGCCACTCCACACCCCACCTTAAGTCAGCCAAGTCTTAGTCACCCAGTGGTCCTGGCTCTGCCATTGAAGCCTAGGAATGCTGTAGGCATGATGAGCTTCCAAAAGCTCAAACTCATTTCCATGGACATGGAGCTGACTCACAACTGATCCACCATTCCCGTGCCTCCTGTGGCTGTAAATCAGAGGGGAGGAGATTGCTCGTCTTTCTCCCGGGGATTGGCTGGTGGATTTGAACTGTAAGCAGGATGAAGCTGTTGAGTTGGCAGTACAGCTCCTTACAGACAATGCCACCAGAGCTTCCTCCCTTTCATGAGCTTAAGTAGCCAGAAGATCAAGAAGGTGCTTTGAGGAAAGGCAATAGCAGGGGACTGGTTAGACACTGTAATGTAATTAATGTTATAAAACAAAATGTGCATCAATGATTACATTAAAAAAAAACAATATGCTTTGTAAACTTTCAATTAAATCACAGTAGAAATTTAAAAGATGCTTTGAAAGAAAACTGTCTCTCCTGACTATCTGACCCTTAAACCTTCTGCTTCCATTTCCCCATGAATCTCGTGTGATGAGCACTCAGCTAAAGTAGGAGCCCTGGGGCTAAGCGTTTGCTTGTAACTTCAGGGGAACCCACCCTGGTGGAAGTTCAGCCCTCAGTCACCTCCATGGTGAAATGCTCATTTTCTACAATTCCAGGTGGGATCCTTGGGTTTCCAAGGAATCTAGTTACACACCTGAGGAATATGGAATGTGGCTCAGAAGACACATCAGTAGCCCCAGGGGAAACTGAGGAACATTTCCCCCCTTTGCAGAAATGTAGACAGCTGTCTGCAGGACACCTCTTTCCTCAGCATGGAGCAATGCAGACTTGTGTGTGTATACTGGGTACCTGCAAGGGTACAGCAGGAGGTGTGTACTGGGGGTGAGCGTGGAGGAGGGAACAGAAAAGAAGGTGGTGCATCTGAATGAGGTACATCTGTAGGATTGCTCCTGCTTGTTCTCATCCCAGGCTCAGTGTGTGGGTAAGTGGGAGCCAAGTTGTCTATGTGTTAGCTTTCTGTGCATTGACTGTTGTTCCAGAGAAGGTGTTACTACAGTCCTCCAGAGAAGGAGTTAATAGCTAAGCACTTAACAAGAGCCTCCGAGTTACAGCATCTTGCTTTACTCTAGCAGGAGGCTGGCTCTGGGCCTCTGCCTCCTGAAGAGACTCCAGTCCTCACTGGGAAGCTGCTGGCTGCTACTTGCTTGTTTCAGCAAGAGGTCGGGGAGCCACTTGTCCAAGTCAAGGATGTGGCAGAAGCGACAAAGCAGTGGGAATTCTGGAGCCTGGGCAGGCCTTCCAGTTAGCCATGGGAACTTGGAGGAATTTCTTTAGCCTCTTCCCAGTCAAATGTGGCCCATGGAAGAGTTATCAGCACCACCTGGGAACTCCTTGAGAAAGCCTGAGAAATATAGGCTCTCAGCCACACTCCAAAGCTCGTTCACCTGCATTTAGCAAGACTTGGCAGGGTTTCCTTGTATATTAAAGAGAAGTATTGCTCTCACCTACCTGGGTCACTGTGTCCTAATCCATGAGATAAGGTTAGAAAGCAGAGAGGCAAGAGACCAGTTTTGATTCCTGGCCAGTCCAGTGCATGCTCGGTGCCACTTGCCCGCAGTGTCTGACAGTGGAGGCTCTGCATGATGCTGAATGGGCTTCATTGGAGCTTCTAGCCTAAGGTGAATTAGGGGAAAGAGTTCAGGTGAAAATCCTGTCTTATTGCTGTCGATTTGGACCAACTCATAGCCAATCCTCCTGTGGGTTTTCAGAGGCTGTAAATTTCACAGGAAGTTGTCCATTTTCCTCATTCTTCTGAAAATTAAAACTGACTTATCTCATTGCCATGAAATAGGAATCAATTCATCGCTGACCATCCAGCAGGTGATCAGAGACTGTAGAGCCCAGGAGAGGAGATTGCCCATCTTTCTCCTGAGGAGAAGCTGATGTATTTGAACCTCCTGTCTTTGCGATGACAGCACAACTCCTTATCCAGCTAGGTCACCGGAGCTCCCTGAAAATTAGCCAGTGAAAACTCTATGGGTCAGAGATGGATTTGGCAAGCCCATACACCCTGTATCCTATATGCCAGTCCACGTAAAACTTGTGCTTTTTGCCCTTAAAACAAAGCAAAAACAAGAATGGAAGAAAAACCTATATGGTTGTTTTGTTTTGTTTTGTTATTTGTGGATAACAAGACAAACAGTTTAATATTACTTTTGGAAAAGACTCTGATCTCTTAGTTAAGATCTTAACATTTAGCATTCGTATCTGCTGATGCAGAAAGGATAAGGGGAAAAATTATTTTGATAAAGCGAATACAAAAAATGCACACAATAATGTATTCAACCAGTGGGCTACATTTTCTTTTCCTTTTAATAAAACCTGTATGTTTCAGGTAAATTTCACAGAAGATCATTGCCATGGGGGTCTCAATGAGGTGGGGGGCACCTCAGAGGAACCATAAGCAATAGAGGCTGTCATCCCTGATGACAAAGCTCTGGGGGCGGGGGGAAGCTGCTGAGACCAGCCGTGCTGTTGATCACCCAGCTTCTGCTCTGTCTCTTGTCTCTCCCTGCAGCGGACAAGGAGGCAGACGAGTACTACATGCGGAGGAGACACCTGCCAGACCTGGCCGCCCGGGGCACCCTACCCCTCAATGTCATCCAGATGTCCCAACAGCAGCAGAAGCCGCTGCCTCGGGAGCGGCCCCGCCGGCCCATCCGGGCCATGTCGCAGGACAGGGTCCTGTCCCCGGAGCGGCGCCTGCCTGATGACTTCGGCATGCCCTATGATCGCATCCTGTCAGATGAACAGCTGCTGTCCACCGAGCGCCTGCACTCCCAGGACCCGCTGCTGTCCCCGGAGCGGACGGCCTTCCCTGAACAGTCCCTGTCACGGGCCATCTCTCACACAGACGTCTTTGTGTCCACGCCCGTGCTGGACCGCTACCGCATGACCAAGATGCACTCCCATCCCAGTGCCTCCAATAACTCCTACGCCACCCTGGGCCAAAGCCAAACAGCGGCCAAGCGCCAGGCCTTTGCCTCGCGCCGACATAACACCGTGGAACAGCTGCACTACATCCCGGGTCACCACACCTGCTACTCAGCCAGCAAGACCGAAGTGACCGTGTGACTGGGGCAGGGCCACATGAATGGGGTGGGCTGCCTTCGCCCAGAAAGCCATACCCCAGGGGCACTGCCCGGGACGGTCAACCTCAGACCTAGGATCTAGGACATCTCCCCCCTTCTTCTAGAAGCATCCTGGGGAGTGAGGAGGGCCTAGACCCCTGCCTCACGCCCAGCCCCTTTGCCAAACCCCTTCCAGACCCCGTCTCCCTTTCTGGGGACTCAGCTGCAGATTGTGTCAGTGAGAGGACCCTCTCCGGACCCTGGTCTGGGGACCAGTGGGCATAGTCGGTGGGCTGAGCAGATAGGCTCCTCGGTCTCATTCATTCACCTAGAACCGCATCACAGGAATCTTCTAGTGCCTCAAAACTGCCTGCTCGCTGTTGCAGAGCCAGGGAGCTGCTGTGTCCAAAAGCACAATAATGATTCTTTCCTGCCTGCTGGAGCTGGGGCGTCACCAGTGCCCCTTACTGAGCTGGCCCCTCCCTGAGGGCCCCGGCCTCAAGGTTAGAGATTCTGCCTGGTTCCAGGAGCTGGCCACCCTGCTCACAGCATCCACTGTCCCCTCCTCTGGGGGGATGCTGCCCTTCTCCAGCCCAAATGTGTCCCCCCCCTGGGTTTTCTGGGCACATAGGCAGAGGAAAGTACTGATGGGTTGCAGGGGCTTTTGGGGTGCCCTTCCCGGCCACTTGGTTCTGTCTATACTTTTTCCAGGCCTCTAGGTCTGTACTGAGAACCCCCCACCCAGGCTGCCTTCTCCCCCTTTGCTCTGCTCCCCAGAGGTGCCTGTTGGTGGCTGGAGAGCCCACCCTGGGGAGGGCACTGTGACACCCTGGGCCTCAAGGGCTCTCCATTCCCATCACCTCGGGCTCCTGACTGTCCCCCACCACCTGAGTCAGCCAGGAGGGAGGCAGGGGCTGCTGGAGAGGGGTGGCTTAGCCTCCTGTGAACAGGCCTCAGCACCTACCTGCCTGCCTGCTTTCTGTCAGTCACTGCCCACCTGCTGGGCCCCTTCTGGGTTCAGAACCCGCTCACTCTCACCTGTATCCCACTCCCCTTCTCCCATCCTTCTGCAACTCTGCTACCCAGTGCCTCCTCTGGGTCAAGGTGACAAAGACTCATTAGCCACCCAGGTAATGGTATCAAAGATCTCCGGGCTCACATGGTGGCTCCATGCCACATCAGTCCCAGCCTGCAGGGGGCGCCTGGGCATCAGGCAGGTTAGACTCTGGGCTGGGTGGAAGGAGGTGGAGGTGCCTGTTCTCCTGAGGGCAATATCCATTCCCAGGAGCCTGGGGGTGGGAGAAGGGGCTCCTCCATAATCAGGGCTGCAGTGTGGGAGGAAGGCTGGGCTTGGGCGGCAGGGGCTGGAGCCAGATTCCAAAAGTGGTGACCTTACACTGGGACTTCACCTTCTCTTAGTTCTGTCTTCTGTATAGCATGTAGGACCCTTAAAAAAGGTGAGCAGGGAGAATTCATCAGTGGCAGCTCTGGGAATTTTTTTAATCATACCAAATCCCCACCTGGAGAGAAATCAACTGATTCGCCTGATTATTTCACGATTCCAAAGCTCTGTTTTCTCCTCACCAAAGTTCACCTCTCTTGGTGCACAAGAAGCTCCAGGAGACACTGTCAGGTGATGAAAGATTGGGGTGGGAGGGGGTTACAGTCATGATCCTCAGCCTGCCCACTGGGAAGGGTCTCTGCACCCTTGAGACTGAGGGGCAATCTCTGCTTTCCTCCCCCACAAACACATAAACCTCCCTGAGGGCTGGTCCCCATAGGTTTATGGGAGTTTGTTCCAGAGGCCAAGAGGATTTGGCTGGGGGAAATTCACTCCCAGAAACCGGGTGGGTTCTCCCAGCTGGATCCCTGGCTAGTACAGTGCACTCCTGACACGCCCTTGACCATTCTGCTTGAACGCTGGTGAGGGGTAAGGATGGATGTGGGTGAGGACCCGCTCTGCTCCCCCAGTTATCAGCATGAACACACACAATCACTCATCTCCAACAGCCAGTGTGGAAGCATCTTCTCAAACAAAGTGCTCCAGACACAGGACTAGGCTCCTTCCCCAGCCCTGGCTCTGACAAGGCGTCTGTCTGTCTCAGGGGTTGTCTGACAGGTTGAGTCATCACAGCCTTACCTTACCAAGATTTGCTTTCAACCTCTGCTGTTGGTCAGATCATTCTACTTGAACCCTACTTCTTTTACATAAAGTATAAACAGTCCTGGGCCTTGAAGAAGATTAGTTCCTAAGCTGTGTGTAAGAGTTTGTAGGTCAATGGAAACAGGTGCATATGGTTCTCATATCACCTTTATGGGAAGAAACTACTCAAAGTCTTTTCAGTGATTTTTAAAAAGCTGCACATGCAGCAAGTGAAGGTGATTATGATGAAGACGTTGTAAGGACTGGTTCAGTCATTTCAGATTGAGGGGAAATTTACAAAGCAGGGCTGCAAAGGTGGCGGCTGACTGTGATGCTGTGAACATGTGGGCGCTCCACATCCTGCCAGTAATCTCGTCTCATGCCTCTGCTTCCTGGAAGGGGATTACTATGTCTCTTCCTACCCTTGCATTCCAGGGCTTCAACTGGAAAATTTTCCCATTCCAGCTACCATGACAAATTACCAACATTATAAAAATTCTGGTCTCTTCCAATTGCACTTCGTTGGCTATGACAGAACTGGATTTTGGAGCCCTGCATTGCAGGGCAAGCAGGAGCTGCCTGTAAATCAGACGTGTCTAGGGACTGCCGTATTTACTCTTGGTCTAAAAGGTTGAGAAAGGGGACGGGAGCGTGGAGAAGGAAGAATGACAAGTCTACAAAGACACTCCAGTTCAGCCCCTTTTTAAAAAATGCAGAATATTATTTGTTAACTGGAACATAGGGATCACATCGATTCAATTGTCTTGTCTGTGTTTATGGAAGATGGTAAGCCACATTAATAAGACAAGTTTACATAGGAGATAAGAGTCTTCTGAGGATCCAACCCAAGTATCCTGTCTGACTTCCCAGCCCAACCTGCCCGGTGGGTTCTCCCTGGAAGGGCCTCCCTCCTTAGCAAGGGAAGCCCAGAGCCCAGGTTTTCTTTTGGCAACTTTGGTCTTTTTGTGGGCCCCTCTGCTCTGCTGGAGATGGACTTGGAGCTGCACTGTTTTCCTCTCTGAAAGTCCCTCCTAGTGTCCTTGACCAGCAGTAGTGAGGAGGTCCCAGCTCTTCTGCTTTTCCTGCCCTCCTTCCTCCAGTTAACTCCTGACTCAAATAGCTTTTCCAGGTTTCACTTAACTCCCTAATAACTGGGCTCTGCCCTCAGGGCTCCCTGCTTGCTTGGTGGATGGGTCTGCCTCCTAAACGGTTCCAATAATTCTCACAATTCAGATTTCTTCTCTCCTACAGTCCCCTAGCCCATGCCCAAACTCCTGTCTGAACACAGCCAGTTCACTCTTCCCATTCTCTGATCTCCCTGGCCTGCTTCTCCCTCTGTTCTCCTCAAACTTCTCTTATTCTATTTACCTTCTTCATCCCAATTCCTTTCTCTTGTTCTCCCTGCAGTCTCCAGCTACACCAGTTAGAGTTCTCAATGAAAACAAAAGAAGCTACAGGCATCCTTTCATGCTGGTTTGCCTCCATGGCTTAAGCACCTGGCCTGTCACTGATACCCCATGGCATGTAGCCAAGGGGTCCCCTACTGATCTTTAATAAGAGGGAAGGAAGGAGAGATGCCCATTCAGAAGTGTCACTGCCAGAAGTCCCTGCTGCTGGCGAGTTCTCGAGTTCTCGGATGCTCTTGGTCCAGCCATGAGTCCAGCAGCTCCTGCTCTGCCCACAGACTCCGAAAACCTTTGTGTGTTTTCAGCTATTGTTTCACTTCCTCACACCATTTCCTGCTTACACACGCCCCCAATTCTCCTCTGATGTAAAGTATATGAGGGTCTCATGGCACTCCAAACACAGGGGAAGCTTCCAATGTCCATACTGCCAAATATAGTCCATTTTCTTCAGAGATTCCTTGTCGGCTGCCAGCTCTCACCCTCAGATTCCTTCCATGGGTAACTGCGGGCTGGGCCTCAGGTAATAGGAAAGGGTTGTGGGTCCTCTGGACCCCAGAAAGTGCCTGCCCTGGGAGGAGCTGAAGTGTCACCTCATCCATGCTCCATTGACCTCCTGTCACCCCTTCTGAGCCCAGGAAATTCTGCTCTGGAGTATTTTTGAGGAAGCGTGTTGTGTTTTAATGAAATATTTTTCAGGGTTCAAATGTTATTTTTTATAAAAGCCGCATTTTAATGATAGATTCAATACAAAAGATATGTCTTCCTGGGCTCTATATTTGATTTGGGAAGGCAGAAAATAATAGCACAGGGTTTGGGCTCTGGAGACACAGCGTCCAGTCCTGACTTTGTGTCTATCTTGTGGTGTGGCCTAGGGCAAGTCACACTCGTGCTCAGTGCCTCAGTTTCCCCATCTGTAAAACAAGGGGCTTTGATTAGATGAGCTCTTACAGTTGAGGGCTTCCCCCCTGCTAACATCACTCCTCAACTCATCCCTCCACACTGAGCTGCATATGTCCCAGTACACCTGCCCTGTGGCGACACCCACAGATGTCCAGACAGCCACCAGACTGGACCCCAGAGCCTGCGGTGGGCCTCCTGGTCTTGCTTCTGATAGTTTAAGGGCCTAACCATCTAGCAGGCATTCAGCTGTGTGTCTTGGAAGCCCCCTTCCAAGGTGTGTAACAGACACACCTCAATCATTCTGGCTATCTCTGTCACTGAGGAATTCTGGGTTTGAATTTTTCATTTTTGATGTGGTCCTGATAGCTGGAGGGAGGCGATTCCAGTTTCAGCGAGGCGACAGGCTGGAGCAAAATGGTCCAAAGGTTTGCCCGTGCAGGCAATGGAACTCGTGCTGGAGGGCAACTGGGAAATGCATTCCAAGCCCAAGAAAATGCATGGCAGAGGCTGTGTGCCAGTGGATGTATCGTGTCCCACTCCGGAACGTGTCCTGACACTCAGGCTCTGA